GGCCAAGGAGAATTTTGAGCATGATCTACACATTTGGTTAAAAAAGCTTAGACCCAACTATGTTGATGTCACAAGTACCTGCCATAACTTAGGTGATGTACAGCAAACATTAAGTGACCTGCAACAGGCCTTCACGAGAATTATGAGTGTGCTCTAAACATTCAGTTGAAAAAGCTTGGACCTGAGCATGTCGATGTTGCACCTACTTACAATAACTTGGGTTCTGCACAGCAAATATTTGGTGACCTGCAACAGGCCTAGGAGAATTATGAGCGTCCTCTACACATTCATTTAAAAAAGCTGGGAACCGAGCATGTTGATGTCGCACATACCAACAATAACTTAGGTGCTGTACAGCACACATTAGGTGACTTGCAACAGGCAAGGAGAATTATGAGTATGCTCTGCATATGCAGTTGAAAAAGCTTGGACCCAAACATGTTGATGTCGCATATTCTTACAATTACTTAGGTTCTTTTCAGCAAACACTAGGTGACCTGCAACAATTTAAGCCAAGGAGAATTATGAGTGTGCTCTACACATTCAGTTGAAAAAACTTGGACACAGGCATGTTGATGTCGCACGTATATACCTACAGTAACTTAGGTGCTGTACAGCACACAATAGGTGACCTGCAACAAGCCAAGGAGAATTATGAACATGCTCAACACATTTGGTTGAAAAAGCTTGGACCCAAGCGTGTTGATGTCGCATGTACTTACAATAACTTAGATGCTGTGCAGCAAACATTAGTGACCTACAACAGGCCAAAGAGAATTACGAGCATGCTCTACACATTTGGTTGAAAAAGCTTGGACCCTAGCATGTTGATGTCCCACATACTTACAATAACTTGGGTTCAGTGCAGAAAACATTAGGTGACCTGTAACAAGCCAAGGAGAATTATGAGCTTGCTCTACACATTTGGTTGAAAAAGCTTGGCCCCTAGTATGTTGATGTCGCACATACTTATAATAACTTGGGTTCAGTGCTGAAAATATAACGCGACCTGTAACAAGTCAAGGAGAATTATGAGCATGCTCTACACATTCTGTTGAAAAAGGTTGGACCTGAGCATGTTGATGTTGCACATACTAATAATACAATTACATGGGTTCTGTACAGCAAACATTAGATGACCTGCAACAGCTAGGCCAAGGAGAATTATGAGTGTGCTCTACACATTCAGTTGAAAAAGCCTGGACCCCAGCATGTTGTCGCACATACTAACAATAACTTGGGTTCTGTACAGCAAACGCACTGGAGATATTCAGATAAGGAAGCTTGGACCCGAGCGTGTTGATGTCGCACATATTTCCAATACCTTGGGTTATTTACAGCTAACATTAGGTGATCTGCAACAAACCAAGGAGAATTATGAGCCTACTCTACACATTTAGTTGAAAAAGCTTGCACCCGTGCATGTGGATGTTGCAAAGGCAAATGTTTCAAGACTTTGTGACCAGGGCAAACTCAACAGTACATACTGCTGCACATATCTCTTGGATCCCTCTGACCCTCTTTTTAAGGTAGGTATTACTTTCTAATACTTCAAGTGATGTTATGTATCTACACAGGAAATTTGTGTGTCAAGGCCCAAAGTTGTTTGTTTTCAAAAGATTTAGACACTCTTGGGCCCAGGTGTTTGAGAGCCAATTAGCACTAATCCAAGGTAAATTTTATATGTGGCCTGAAGATGTTAAGGCCCGTCTAAACAGTTTCAACATTTGCTTCAACATGCATTCAACACTTTGTCAAAACAAATGTTCGGTGTGTTTAAACAGGTCATCCAATGTTGTTGAAAATGAAAAAAATGTTGAAAGCGTGGTGAAAGCATGTTGAATCAAGTTTAAATCGGTTTAAACTTTCATTCAACATCGATTCATCTTTTCTTTTGTTCTCTAATATGTTGAATGGTGTTGAAGCCATTTGAACACTCTGTCATGAAACAATTGAACACACGCATGCTCATATCAGGGTGCAAAAGTCATTATGGCATCTGGAGAGAGTCTAGTTTCTAGTTCATAGTTCCTCACAATTAAATTTCCCGAAAATGTTAGTTCATTTGTTGGCACAATGTTGAAAACCGTTTGAATGGCCCCCACACAACTTTGTCTTTGCTTCCAACGTGTGCCCAACATCCATTCAACTTTTGTTGAATGAATGTTGGTCAAATGTTGAAACCATTTAAATGGGCCTTTAGAGTAGCCAAATTACATCACCACCTGCAGGAATTGCAGTGACTTCACTAGCATAAAAAGCTTCCATGGTGGGGGACTAACATGTAAATTACATGTGCACAAAATTTTTCTCTTTCACATATTTGTTTTACTTGTACTTAATTTGCATGTAAATTGTGCATAATATGACAGATTTACACGCATGATACATGCATGTAATGCCACTATTCCTGCTGCTGGTACTTTAAGTGGTATGTGTGCTCTCTAAATCCTTAAAAGTTTACATACAGAACCCAGAGTTGCCTAACTACACAGCTGCGTTAGCTTAGCACTTAACTCTTCCTCTTCCAAGAGTGGCCAGAAATGAATTATTTTCTTCTTACAATGTAATTACATTATTAAGTGGATGGGTAATGAGAAGAGAGAAAAATATCAATGGAGATCAGTTTGAATAATTTATTTTAAGGTTTTTTACTGGGTGGGAGGTCTGTATAAGATGAAACCATACCCAACGTCTTCAGTAGAGAGCCTTTCTGAAGTGAAGGGTCAATTTTTTTTTCTCATATGAGCCAACCTAGATGGGTGGAAAACATTTTTTTTTTCTTTTCCACTGGTTTGCTTTGTTTGTACTGTACTTATGGCATAACCTATTTGAGAAAATTGGTGGATTCTTTATCAATGCAGTGATTTCAGAATTGGGCATAGAGCATATCTACAATGCTTATACATTCAATGAGATGACTCCACGATCAAGTGATCCTTCATATCTGTCCAGTGCCAGCAAAGCAGTTTATGAAGGAATGCTTGCTGGAGATCCTAATGCCACCTGGCTTATGCAAGGCTGGCTTTTCCAGCTGT